TTAAATTTAAACACAAATGGCAAAAAAGAAATCCATTTTTTGCATTGATAATGTTGACCATAGAAAGTGCTTACCGATGGCTGGATCGAAGAATCCGACAGGATAGTTTGCGTGTGGATAGACTACAAAAAGTTATTTTCTCCCCCTCGGCTGTCCACCACCAAATCCCAGTCGAGCTTCTCCTGCTTTCCTTCGCCTTGGAAGCTCTCATATAGTGGAGGTGTTTTATTAGTGGACAGATGCTTCGATGGAACGACTTGCCATGCCTAAACGCTTGTTTTCTCCCTTTATACGACGCATTTAGAATATCAGTACTTGCAAATAGACATGTACGATGTGAAGAACGGTGTCAACTTCGTCAGGTACTTGAACACACTGGAGAACATGGTGCACACCCGAGACGGTCTAATAATAGCCGGAACGAAGGAGGTGATGCGGTTCCGTGGGACACGAAAGCCCATGTACTTGGTGGTCTACCAGTGGATGCATCTTGACGACGTGGAGTGCTTTAATCGTGAAGTCACTCCAATCCTAATTAACTCTGGATGCGCCTGTTCAACACGAGTCATCTTTGAAATGGACGCCTATTGTCAACCATTTAGGAGGTGACGAGTGCGCCATCACCACCACTTCGGTTGAAAGCCCTTTCAGCATGTTCATGCAAACCTTGTATTGCGTCATGCACTTTTTTTTTTCAATTTCCTGATGAATAAAAGTTTCACTTTGAAGACTCTCATCCCCTCCTTTGGACTTGCAATTGACGCGAGTGGACAGACGTGTCGGTACCACCAAACTTGTGCAAATCAAGGGCATTTCTACGAACTTTTCAAACTTTAAAATCATTATTTTCTTCAAATTTCATCATATTTTATGATTAAAATTTTAATTTTAATTTCGACGACATCAAGTGTGGTGAGTGAGTGACAACAGGCTTGTAAGTCCCACTTTATTTGCATTAAGTCAAAGAGGTCAGAGAAGTCAAAGTCTTGACCACCACCTTCCGCCTCACCACGCTTGGAAGAGGACTCACTTTCCAAACATCCATACTTTATTGAAGAGCAAGTTGGAAAATGTGACTTATTCGGACGAATTTCTGGTACTGTCGATAGCCTCTTGAAGCTACAAAAAGGGGACATAAAAAGAGAAATTTTTTAAAAAAACAAAATTGACTGATTAGGGTACGAGGAATGCAATGTTTGGGTGTCTTTTTATTACCCTACCTTTCTGCATAAGGAGGAGGTGTTGGATCTCTGCAATCCCCTAGAGGTGATGAGCTTGAGGAGGGAATGACAAACAGCCTTCTGTGACCTCCTGCACCTTTTATGCCTTTTTGTCTAAAGAAAAAAAGAAAAAAAAAACTAAACTTAAAATCGCAAGGTTTAATGAGAACATTGCAGTTTTCATAGGCCCAGAAATGAACCTGTAGTGAGGATGCAAAGTTGTCCTCCTCCTTTGAAAGATCCAACATTTTCCTCTCCCCTCTCCAGGGCGCCAATTGAAGCCTCTAAAGTAAATCAACATTCACTTTTGTTCCATTCACTTGTAGCCCAACTTGTATAGCCTTCAAATGTCCTACCTCTTGAGGTTGGCATCGGGAGGCATCAGAAGGGGAAGGCTGTGGAACTGCGTGAAGGAAAGGATTGTTTATTGTAACCTCATTCTCACCTCCTTCATCCTTAGAAGAAGAAAAAACGAAACACCTTTACAAAAGGCTATTATACTCGTACGTTATTGCTCTTTCCAACACACTGAATCCATTCAGACGTCAAAGTGCTGTCGCCAGTTGTATACACATCGTCAACTGCTTGGTGGTTTAGTTTAAAAGTTTCCACGTTGATATTCAACGCTTTGAATTCATTCAAACACCTCTGAATGCCTGTAAGAAGAGACGCTAAATGTTACAACTAATTTGTTTTAAAGGTTAGGCGATTGTGAAGCAGTAAATTGGCCACCTTTTGGTAGTTCGTTAAACTCAACACTCAATTCATGTTGCATAAGCAGTGAAGATTTGTTTGAGTCGGCAGTTTTAACGACATCAACAATTGACGTCGCCTCAAATTCATCGTCTCCATTCTCATTCACAATTGTCAACACTGGCAAGCAGTCTCTTCTTTGCTGATCCAACTTGGACATTTGCAATTCGGAGCCTTTAAAATGCCACAATTTGGAGCGTTCACATTCAACAACAATTCCATGCTGCTCTACAAGGATGGTTTGAATTTTTGGTGGAGGTTGAGAAAATTCTTCAATCACTGGATTGCCACAAATGCTTAAAAATCTTAACTTTGGACAAACCATCACAGGAATGATTGCCTCTTCAAAACTAAGCTAAAGAAAGAGAATAAATAGAGAGGATTCTCCATTTACCATATTTTCGTCCATGTTCAGGCATGTAAGTTTGGGAAAGATGAGTGGAGGATGTGACAAACTTGTTTTGACCGATGCTTTTGGGGATAGCACCAAGGGAGTTCGGTGTGGTGATCTATCAAGCAAAAAAAAAAGTAAAGCATTACAAAATTCCAACTTGATTTTCTTTAAGAGTAGATTACATTTGTCGGAGATTTGATTTTTGTTGAGACGATTGTTGGAAACGGTGTAAAGACCGATGCCTTGGATTGTAAGTGGAAATAAGTTTTTCCACACTTTGGTGTGTTACAATGTCGTCAAAAAGTATTTCAAATTCTGCTGTTTTATGCAGAACTAAAGTGAGATAGCAGCAGGTTAGAATCGGTTTTACCTTGAGGCTTTGTTGTTGTCAAACTTCTGAAAATAAAAGTTGCATAAATTAATGGACAAAGATTACACAAAAACTTGCTCAATTTTTGAAGCTGGAGGCTTAGACTGCACCCGAAGAATAGGAAAGGAAGTAAACTCGTTGTTTGCTAGACTGAGTCTTCGTAAGCTGCATGGTAAAATAAAGACTTTTTAGAACAGTAAAAGGATTTTAATGAAATGTGGTGAAGTTGAGAACAAACTTTGGAAGTTGAGCCAAAGTTGCGATATCAGCGGCTGAGTGTAGTTTGTTATCATCAAGATTTAGGTCCTCGAGAGTCTGAAACCTACGTTCAGCTAATCGTAAAGAGTTCACTCCACTTGCCTTAATTTTGCAGGAATTGAGGTTAGTCCGTTTCCAACTAGAATGAGTGATCGAAGACACTCAAGTTTGGTTAAATCCACGAGTGCCATGGGCGGCAAAAAGTTGTAAGAAAGATCCAATTTCTACTGTAAAATGTTATGAGCATAACTAGCTTACAATGTGCATACATCAACAATACAAATCCGGCCTAGTTTGATACGTGAGAAGGCCAAAAAAGTAGTAGAGAAACTTTCAAAGCTAAACAAGACAGACCTGAATCTTCAAAAGTGAGCCTTGCAGGTCCTTAAAAACTTGAAGCTCATTTAGTGAGAGATCAAGGCTAGCAAGGCTTGAATAAGTCGGGAGTTTTGCTACAGAAGAAATCAAGTGAATGCATGTCTCCTACCAAAATTGTTGTTGTCGCCCTTGGCTTTTATATTGTTTATTTTGCTGCGACAATATAAACTCTTGCCATTTGTTTCGCTAGTAGTCAAGTTTATAACGTCAAGTCCGCCTAAGCTTGAAGGTACTTTAAGAATACATAGGACAGATTCAGTTCTACCATTGAATTTAAGGTGCTTTTTGTCCGGCACCCTATTATTAAAGCTGGGACAGCCTTTTTCATTTTTCACTCGATTGATTGATCTACCACCTGTAGTTAATAATGGCAATTTAGGTGAAGCCAAACTGTCTCCACGACTTTTCATCAAGTAAGCAACAATACTTGTTTGAAAAACCGCGGCGTCGTCACGCCCAACTAGATGAGATAAAGTGCTCCACAATTCACGCAAAACTGTTTTTAGAATGAAAATGTTAATAATGGGCCTTTCATTCTTACAATTTCAATATGCGATCTTATGCTTGTGCATCGGTTATCAAATGTAAGAATTGAGCTTTAAGAACTATAAATAGCAACAAGTAAATGAAACATTTTATTGTCTTTACTTTAAACTTTACATTTTACTTGAGATTAACTATGTAAGTGCTAAAAAGCACCCACGCTTCTAAGTCCGCCATCTAATTAGGCCGCCTGTAAGAGGGCCTGTCCTTGTGTTATCCATGAGATATCGACAATATAAAATTGCGAATTCTCTCTGTCTGGAGTAATATGAAGAACGATGCTGTTTAATTATATGACTCCAGTTTTGAGTCTAAACAATGCCATTTTTAATTAAAGCTGCTGCTAGGATCAATTGCATTCCCCTATTTCCACGGAAGTAGATGACTAGTCCAAAGATGTTGCTCAAAAGAAGAGGAGTATAATAATTTGTTTATGCAACCACTTGACGTCTGACGGTTATTCGAAGATTCGTCTGGCCTTTGTACGCACATGCTACCCTTCGGGCCTTACACAGGCCGATTTAATTAGTTCTCCTTGGAATACGTGTATCCAGCTTCATTTACTGCCTTCAACCACACGGTGGAAAGTCTTCGGGAGCTACAAGGCGGACGATGTAAGGCTTAGTATGCACTACGGACAGTATGAGCAACAGTCTCTTTGGTTGTCAGCTTTTTTCTTCCGTTTAGCCAGTCATTGGGTGACGCCAAAGCCTCGAGCCTTCTTGTTCTCTCTGTGCACAAGCACTCGGCTATGTTTTATACCCTAAAGTAGTAAGTAGACAACCTCGAGACTAAACATACTTTTATCACTTTAGGATATAGTTATAGGGGCTTACAAGGGATCCTAAGATAATCGTCTTCTACACATTTGACAAGTTTTATCGGCAGCTATTTGGTCTTACTGCTTATGTTGGTGATTTCTTACTTATCAAAACGAAGACCATCATTTCTTCCGCCTAACAGGACCCTGTTATGAAGGGTGAGAGTTACAACCCCACATAAACACAAAACCCATCAAACAGATCCTTCCACCTTGGTACGAAAATTCCCAGATCAAATGTCATTACCTTATAAAATCATGGGAAACGGAATGGGAGGCACTTAATGAGAGCATTGTTGTGGTGTCCCGAGACTTCCCACCGGGCAGAAGACGCAGAAAATGAAGCTGTATACATGTATTCCAAGGAGAACAAAGTAAATAGGCCTGAGAGTAAGGCCGGAAGGCCTGCCCGTGCCTACAAAGGTCAGACAAATCTTGAAGTAACCGCAAGATGTCAGGTGATCACATAACCAAAGTATCCCAATTGGTTTGTCTTCCCTCTTCTAATTTTTTTCGTTCAAAGTTACACTCAAAGTAATCTTTGAACGACAAAAATGCGACCTCCTTATTGTAGTTGAGTTAACACCTTACTCGCACTTCTCCCCCCTCACAAAAGCCACCTTCCACAAGCAGCAGAGATTGCACACCTCTTTATTGTTAAAACCCGTATCCACTCTCCCCTACGGTTACTCAGTAATGAAGGTCATATGACAGGCAATCAATACCGCTTCCCGCGACAGGCGCACTTGACACTTGACTGCTGTAACGAACGCTACAACGACGCTGCACAAATGGAGGTCAGAGATGTGAGCAAAATCTCCAAAGAGGAGGCGATCGTGACAGGAGACAGCAATGCTTCCAATTCAACAGCATGGGTAGGCTCAAGAGGCATGTACTGTGGCACCAACTTTGTAAGTCTCATTTCAATTTATCAAATTTTTTTCCACATTGCTTTTTTACTTTTATACTTGTTAGCTTGTTAAATTGTAAACACAACAATCTTTTGGCTTAAGATGGAGCGTAATTAAGGCTGGCTTCACTCAATTTGGTTTTTATAAAGTCTGGTGGGCGTGTGAGGTTGGATTGGTGGGAGGTTGGAGCTTAGGGCAGTGAAGTGGATGCGCAGTAGAGGTGAAATGTGTCCCAACTTCGTTTCTCCCCTTAGAACATACCGAAAAACACGTCTCAGACGATGGTGCTGATCATCTTCAATCTGGCGGAGAACTACTACGGCGCCTTTAGAAATGAAATGATCATAAACTTGCCAATTTTTAAGGCCTATGGTAATGGAGAGTATCTGGGGCTATCAAAGTGTGTTCGGTGTGTTGAAGGCTCTTTTCCAATGAACTCGGGTGTAGCCGCTCTCTGTTTTGACGATCATGAGGAGGCGTTGAGGTGTATGCAATCCAAGACGCAGATCCGCGAAGCAAATTGGATGGGGAGTCCGGAAATGTACATCATTCCCCTCTGCAATCCAATTAGACACATGGCAGGTAAAAGAGCACAATTGTGTGACAACTTTGCTGTGTCGATGTGTTATGCAGGTGTTGTAGTGGAGCCTAATTTCACACAAATTATGATCTTTTATTTTTCTTTCCTTTTTTTCCCACCCGGACAGACTATCCCTTCCTACAGGTGGACTTTTATGATGTTAAAAATGGAGTTAACTTTACGAAGTACATGAATACGGTGGAGAATATGGTGCATGACAAAGGCGGTCTGATTGTTGCCGGGACAACTGATATTATGCGATTTCGAGGCATCTGTAGGCCCATGTATGTGGTGATCTACCAGTGGACGACCATTGACCTCGTGGAGTGCTTCAATCGAGAAGTGGAGCCGACACTACGCGAGGCCGGAGCTGCGTGTTCAACACGTGTGATCTTTGAAATGGATGCTTTCTCACCGAAGTGCTTGAATTGAAGCACTCCAATTGCTCCTCATTCACTTTCACTCTCTTCATCTCTCCCTCCTTCTCTCTCTCTCTCTCTCTCTCTTTCTGCCTACGGGCATAAATGCCTTGTTCTACAGTAAATACACGTTAGTGAAATCTCACCCAAAGGACTGTTTTATGTGGGGTTTCCAGTGGAGGGCTGAGCAGTTTCGCGACTTTTGGAAATCGCGTAATTATTTGTGTGGGCGAATGGAGGAGAGGCGAAGAGATGGGAAGTGACGGGTAATAACGCAGGTTGGTGGGCGGTGGATGGTTTGACGAGTGATGAAAAGGGACGTCTAAGAGGGCAAACGCGTCTTACGTTGGTGTAAAATTTAGTGTAGCCTTTGAGCTTGGAGGGTGTGTAATTCCGGGGCGTCGCATTTGGGCGGTGGAAGAGGACTGAAATACTTGCATGTGTGGGAAGTTGTGGTGCCATGGCCTGGTTTGCAGGTCAGCTCATGCAGACAAGAGTAAGCTGAAGGCCAAAGTGATCAGCGATTTAAGCTGCTGCTTTCTTCGTTTGTGCAACATCTATGATGGAGCTCTCTTCGGTGCGGCCCCGAGCTAGCCGTCTTAGCACTGTCGGTACGGCAAGGAAGTATCCACCACTCATTGGCGTTTGTCATCCGCTGCCATGAGACTGGGGAATTGAGTTTGACTCTCAAGGCACCTTCGACTGATACTGCAGTTGTGTTCGGCCTAAAAACAGGAATCGAAGGCGAGGACTTTATTTGACCGTCAGCTGTGTCCAGAGCCAGCCATTAAGACTCGGGATTTTGTGAAGACGAAGGCTTAGCGCAATGCCACCACCCAAATCTCTACGCGGACGCAGTAAGGGGACGTTTCTCGATGGTGCCTCTTCAATTGTTAATGGCTTTAGGTGGATGGTAGATACGCAGAGGTCATTCTAAGCCCTTTCGTTGCGGAATGGTGGGAGTGCCTCACCTTCTCTTGTCCATGAAAGACGTCTGGAGAAGCTACGCTGAAACGGCTTCCATCCTGGTTTACATCGTTTGTGACAACAATCGGTATGAAGGAGCCTTTGCAGCCCCCTTAAAGAGAGGACATAAAACAGCGTTAGCCTTTGGCATCTCTCCCTTTCTACTCTCCACTGGAAGACTATTAACAACATAAACGACACACACCGCGTACCGTGTGGGAGAGTTTCGTCTCGCAGTTTTCCCCAATCCACGTGCACACAGGCACGGACAATGGGAAGTTCCCACCTACACGCAG